CTCTCTCTCTCCCTCTCTCTCTCTCTCGCTCTCTCTCTCTCTCTCTTTCTCTCTTTCTCCTTCTCCCCTGACCTCATACATGACACACACGCGTGCGCCGGCACGGTGACCAAGTTCTCAAGAGCAGTGTGTGTCACTAACGTGTCACTAACGTGTCGAGGAGCCGCGCGGCGCGCGCTGACGTAAGGCCGTCTGTCGCGTGCTGGGGGGGAGGAGGGTAGTGGGGCGATAAAAGGATCGCGTGGACCAGCCATACACACACGCACACATGTGGCGGCGCGTAGTGTGTGCGTTTGTTGAATATGCGAAACGCTTTGCCTTTGCGGCCGCCGTCCTGCGCCGGAAGCCCGTCGCCGAGCGTCGCCGCCGTACCACCTGTTGGCGAGCACGACAAGGCAGCCGAAGGCAGCGGGGCTCTCTCGCGCGCTTTTGCTTCCCGAATCGCGTTGCAAATGACACTACTGGGGTCCCGTCGCCAGCAGCAGCACGAAGAGGAAGGGGCCGGCGGAGAGGAAGGCAAACAGGATATGGGGATCAATTGTTTAAACGGATAACTTTGCGAAACGCATAAAAAAAGGAAAGAGGTGCGTGGACGCAAAGAAGAGGAGTGGCGGGTGGGGTGCGGGCCGGGGCCGGGACCGTGGCGGGCTTAATCGTGGGAGTGGGCTCATCAGGGCAACAAGAGGCCTCTGCCCTCCGCGCTGCTCTCAGCGGCTCCCGTGTCGCCTTCGACCGCGCAGCTCTAGCCGCGCCCAGCGCCGCGTCCCTCGCCGTCTGCATGTTACATTTTAATCCCCCGCAGTGGCGCGCGACGGAGAGAGAGAGAGGGATGAGAAAATAACGCAAGTGTGTTGTTACACAAAATCGGTAGCACTTTCTAATCCTGGCGAACATTTAATAATAAAATGTATGTATCTTCTCCCCAAATCCGGCAGGCCGTACGACGGCTGATGGTTTGTGTCTGCGCGGCGACCGTCTGCGTAGGCGCGGCTGGCCGAGCGGAAGGAGCATAAGCCGGTGCTGTGAAATTTACTATGTGTTGGGGCTGCTAGGGAGGGGCCTGCTTAGGAAGGCCGAGCGCGCGCGCACACACACACACGCACACACACACACACACACACACACACACACACACACACACACACACACACACGGTCACACAGACGTCCGTGACGCATGTGAAACATGCTCACAGACGCACAGAGACATCGCACATGCATACTCTCCGGCAGAAAACACGACAAATAAATGAATAATTGGGCCCCGCCTCGCCCCGCCCCGCCTCGCTCGCTCCGCGGGGTCCCGACCCCTCCTGCTTGCGGTGCGGATGCCTGCGCGCTCGCTCTGCTCGGGCTTTCTCCGAGGAGCCCGGCCGCGCCGGGGCTTTTCCTCTTAGAGCGCTGCTAGTTCTCTATTTTTTCCCCGATCTGTGTTTTCCTTTCCGGAAAACCCGCCACCCACAAAAATCAAACTGTAAAAAGCAAAGTTACAGGAATGCTTTTTAAAACAGTTATTTTTTGTGTGTAGAATATGCTTGCTGAGACCTCCCTACGAGGAGGGAATCTCGTTTGCAGTCGCTCCACGGAACGAATAATGCAGCACTGCCATCTCGAGCCGTCGTTTGCACATCGCGTAATTGCTTTATTAAGTTGTGATCATCCGGGGATGATAATTATCTTGTTACGTTCAGTAGCTGGAAGCCGTGCTTGCCATAAATTCGCATTATTGTTATTACATCATCGAATTGACACACTCACTCATCTGGCGCGTCAAAAACTGAAATACAATGAGCGCGCCCTCAGTGGTAAGGCACGGTTGAAGTGTGGACGGTGTGAAAATTCGTATGGAGGTATTTGCATCATGAGGACAACATTGAAACTGTTTCTGCATCATTGTTAGGAAATGTTTTAATTTTGCGGTGTTTTCAGTTTTTCATTTATTTCTAGTAAAAATAAATAAATCCAGGTATGTAAAGAGTCGCAAGGGCGCCGCGGCGAAAACGTGAGGAAGAAAGGCGTCTGCGGGAGAGAGAAGGCTGAATATTCATAGGTGTGACAGAGGCGGGCGCCGAGTCGTGCGCGGCTGGTGCGAGGGAGATGGACTGCAGCTGCAGGTGCGCGGGCCGCGCCGCGGGTGGCGCCGAGCCGCCAGCGGGTGAGAGAGAGAGAGGCCCGCGCGCCCTGGTCTGCTTCTGAGAGTGCGAGAGAGATGGGGCGGCGGCGCCAGGAAAGTGAAGACGCGAACCAACAGGTTCCTTTTACGTTTGTTACGCCGCGAGGCTGGTCCTCTGACCTTACACTGTCCGGAGCGGCACAGCAAGGCGGAGCAGAGGGGTCAATCCGTGAGAAACGTTACCCTACCATGCAGGTATTTTTTTTTTTTTTTTTTACTTTTCTTCTGGCGATGATGATGATGTTTCGGGGCGATAGGCGCGCGTGCGAAGCGAAACGATGAAGCGAGCCATCAGCGACCCCATCGAGTGAGCGAAAAGGAAGTGCAAAACGATGAGCCTCCCGCTCGGCTCCGCTCGGCGCGCGGGCGCTGCGCCAGGCGCGCTGCACCAGATCGGAGCGGCCGGAGCGGCGCGTGGCGGGTGGTCCGGTCATCAAACGGTATGACGCGGGGGAATCTGGTCCGAGCGCGGCGCGTCCACACCTGGGCTGCGGGGCGCGCGGTGCGTGGGCGGAGGGGCACTAGAGCCGGCCGTGGGCAAGGCGTGAGTGACCCTCCTTTACGACACGGTCATATCGTGGCGCGGCGTGACGCTGGGGGGGAGGCGGGGGGCGGCCACCGCAGCCACAATGTCTCCAATGATCAAGCCGAACCTGGTCTAACCCTAACCCCAACCGGGGCGTGGCGCGGTGGGCCCGAGGAGGAAGGGAGAGAAAGCGATACTTCTCCTTCCACTACCGCCTCGCCGAGAGGGTATATTACGAGGCAAGAAGGTGGAGGACGACGCCTGTTTGATGTGTGACAGTTTGGGTGCCAGGCACACCGACGAGGAAAGTATTGTGGCTCTTTTATCTTCTGTCAAATGACCGCTCTCTCTCCCTCCCGCCCTCTTTATTCCTGTATC